TCAATCTCACAGTCAAAGCTTCGGAGCGAAACAAGGATCATGCCATTTTGGCTATATGGGGGGTGCTGAACGTCTGATTTTACACAGAACTACGAGTTTTCTACCAATAACTTAAAATACAGCCTATTACAATATACATTTCAACATTTAATGTTGTAATAAACATGTAAAAAGAATAAAACTTTCAATAAATGTTTTTAAAGTGCGTAAATAAATCCAAATTTGTAACCCTGGAATGTACACAAAACTCTACACAAGACCAGTGAATGGCAGGCGAGAAAGCGAGAGATAAAGCGAAAGATAGAGCGAAAGAGAGAGCGAGGGAGAGAGCGAGAGAGAGAGCAAGGGAGAGAGCGAGAGTGAGAGAGGGGTCTACAAAAAGCCTCAGTTTAGCTGGAAATCGTCTGTTTCCTTCCGGCAGATAGGAAATTGTGAATGAAAAAGAAAAAATAAATAAATGAAAAGAAAGAAATAGCATATGTGAACTCTTTTGGAGTAAGCGCTTTGGAGCGGTTGGATGATCTCCCTTTCGGGTACAGGTGCTCTTCGAGGAATCTTTCAGCAGGTGATTGGAGAGGAAAAGGTATAATAAGGAGAGCAAGATCTATTGCGGTCTACAATCTATTTTAATAGACTAGTAGATACTCAAGAGCGGGAGATGAAAAAGTTAAGATAACGAATGGGAAGATTAGCTGTGGACGGCGTCAAACAATGATTTCCTGTTGGCTGGAATAGTTTAAGAGGGACCAGAGTTAGATATGAGAATAACTTGGTGCTGCAGTTCTTTTAAGTTGACCATTTCAGCTGGAAATTAGTGTTGATTTGTGCCAAATTGTATGCACTACCCTCCAAAAGGGTACTATGATTACACCCCAGACAGACACATCACATTGCCTGCATGAAAACACATATTGTTTTCTGTGATACCAGTAATCATTTTCATGTACTGCAAAGGTCAATGGGGGCCATACCATCCACTCCTTGTTCTTCCTTACACTGAAGATAGTTCTTAATGACTTTAACTGTATGTTTGGGGTCATTGTCATCCTGCAGAATGAATTTGGGGCCAATCAGATGCCTCCCTCATGGTATAGCATGATAAATAAGTATCTGCCTGGCGATTAATTCGACCAAATCCGGATCTCTGTTTGCAGAAATGCAGCCCCAAACTTGCAAGGAACATTCATCATGCTTCACTGTTGCTTGCAGACACTCTTCAGCAAACATGGTTCTGCTACAGCAACATATTTCAATTTGCTAACTGTACATTTTCTGTCTGTATCTGTAGCTAGTTTGCTTGGTTAGGCATTCAGCTAGCGATCCTATTAGCTGACTCAGCCCAAGAGCCAAACCTGGCAACAAAACCAACACGATAATGTATCACCTATCGTCAAACTGGCCTCCGTCGGTCTCGTAAGCTATGTTTTTGGGCAAACTAAAATATGTACATACATTTTAGGATGTTGTGTATCCATGGGAATAATCACTTTGAATCTGAATTAAACTTTTATCAAAATATGACTTTCCAAAAAAAAATTGGTCTCTTGGGGGTATTTCATTGCATTTAGATCATGAAACATTGCAGCTAGATTTTTTATATGTATCCTAGTTGTTTCATATCAATGTATCGCTTTAATGTCATCCAGTTGATCTCCATGTCCTTTGCAACCAGGTGTATGGGCTTCCCATTCTGTACCTCTCCCACTGATCTGTAGAAATCAACAAGAGGAGTTGAAGCCCTGTCTGTCTTCCATTTATAGAAGCATAAGATGGATTACAGTAAAATAGCTGCCTCAGGTCTTTAGACTTAAAAGGAGCCCCTTAGCATCATACTTCAACACACTGGGGGAAGCCCTGTAGCGTCAGTTTTTAACGCTAAAGATAGGTGTAGGTTATTTAACAGAAAAGTCTGAGTAAGGAGGTGGTTGGGGTAGACAGGCGGGCCAGAAACCAGATTAAGTCAGGAGACCGTTGTTCGATCCACGTGTGAAAGAAAAAGTAAAAATATAATGTTTTTATTTAAGGTATGTAAGTTACGCAAGTAACATTACTTGACTTATGTAAGTTAAGTCACATAAGTAACGTTGTAATTTTAAGCCAAACCTTTTCTTAAACCTTACCAAGTAGCTTTGGTGTCTATACCTAACCAAATTGTTGTGTTTCACACAGTAAACTACTAGTTTCATCTTGAAAGTTTAACCAGACGTTGCATATTTATTCGTCATCATTAACATGACTCCAGAGACCTACACGACGAAAAACAAAGTTTAAGTGGTACCCAGGGCGTTAAAAAGCGACGCCAACATTTTTAGAATTAATAATAGGTATTGCACGCTTCATGCTATACTTACATTTAAGCATTAGTAACCAGTAAGGATTTTATAGAAATTGATTCATATGACAAAATTACACCATACATTGTGAGAAGTTACACAGTAAGTTGCAGGAAGTTACGCAGTAGGTATATATTATATATATTATAAACAGTTACACAGAAGTCCTAAATGACAAGGGTGTAGAATTTGTTACAGACAGTAGGGACATGTCCCTACCAATATCCAGTGACTACTAAACTGTTCATTCTGTTGGGACCTAAACATCATAGAGTGGCATTCATTTTTCATATAATTTTCTGAAATCTATTAGGGCGATATCTCCTTCACTCTGCACTTTGATGTCAGGAAAATTATTAATTTTACATAGACACTGACATTTTTAGATTTATTTCCAGAGAGATTGAGTTTGGTTTTGCTGTTGTAAACACTACTGTTACTGTTGTAGACAAAATATTTAAAATGTAAATCTATTCCAATCCTGTTCTGAATTGAATGAGAATTTTTAAAAAGGGTTGAAGGGTTGAAGTATAATTTGGAGGATGAGAAAATCAGTATAAGCCTGTTTTACCAATGTTTTGATAATTACTTTTAAGGCACACAGTGTTTTTAAATGAATACAGTAATAACATTCAAATTATGAATCGTTTTTAGTCAAATAACATTTGAAAATAAAAAGACCAGACCCACTGACGCCCGTGAAACATTTCCCCATCAAACAGCAAGAACAAAGTGAACAGAGCATACACCTTTGTTTATATTGTTGTGTGTAGAATTAGTAGCATTAGCTGCCAGCTAACCACTGGAATGCCTGACAGCATTTTCAACTTTTCTCTTGTAATTGCAGAAACAAAAGACCTAAAAAAGTCATTATTAATAAGGTACTATTACAACCATGCAATTCATGAAAGCTTTTTAGATTTCCAGAGAGTCAGTCACTCAGATACAGCAGAACACACACATAATACAGTGCCTGGAGGTGCAGCCTTATAAATCTAATCTTATACGTCAAAATAATGATTGGGCATCATTAATGTCAGGGAAATGCAGTGGGATTGTAGCCAGGATCAAAGCAGAGGCTAGACATGCTTTTTATGTGGACTGCAATGCACAATGTCTCAACTTCATCTATACAAATCATATTTCCTTAAACAAATTAGGTAATGCAAATTTAAATTTCACTATGACGGCAGATGGGTGCGGTCAGGGGTGTAGGACTGGGGGGGCACAAAGATACTGGAATGAATAGCAATGGATGCAAGGAGAATGTCTATGTACAGTGTCCAGATTTTTCTTTATTATTGTTGATGCGGTGAAAGCAGTAGCTAAGGCTGATTGTTGTTTTTTTATTGCTGCAGACATTTGTATATGTCAGGTTCTAATGTTCACCAGAATGCCTGTCTGTATTGCTGTACTGAGTACTGAGGGGAGGAGGAGAGCAAGATTACTGAAACTGGATGATTTTGTTGGAAGCTGTCCACTGTCACAGGCAGATCCAGCTATTATAACTCCTTCATGTTAGTATGTTGGTGTAAATCTTATTGACCGACAACTTAAAAAAATGTTCTAGGCATTGATTCCCAGCTTAAAGGGTCTTTTTTTTTTTACACCTTCTAAACACGCTGTATGCCATACTGATCATCTTTAAATGTAATATAGATATGAGACACAATTTTAAAGGCTATGCAATTTAATGAAAATATTCATTTGTAAGTCTCTCAAAAATTACTTTGTAAACGTGAAGTGTATGGCCAATATAGTGTTTTATTGATCATCAGTGTTAATAAGAATAGATACATTTTTAAACCCTGTCTCCTTCTTAATGGACTAATTCTTGAGGTTTACAAAAACCTGTAATGATAATACTTTGTAATAATATTTTGTAGGGTATATGGAAAAAGATCAACTATCTAAAAATCGTCAGCTTAATGCAATGAATAATGAATGGTAATAAATGTTTAAAACTGTTAATAGGTGCACTATGTTATGCTGGGAAAACAATTTCTATAGCTCAACTATATAGCTATAGTTGCGCTATAGCTAAATTTTAGATTAAACACTCACTCTCACTAGGCTCAAGAGCCAATTTCTACTGTTGTCAAGTTGCTCTATCCAATGCTCAACTACGGTGGAAAGCTTTTTTGCTTTTTGCATTGCATCTACCACAGGCTAAGGGCTTTTGTTCATTATTGCTACACTTCATATCACATTTCAAGTTGCTTATTTTTCATTATTTTTACCCAAAATAAACAAATTTCTTAATAATGTACCATTTATTAGCATCTAGGGCTGTAATTTTTACAGTTTTACTTTTTACACTTCATTTTATTTGCCACCCTTCTCTCTCTTTACGTTTGCAATACCTTATTTACTTTTCATAGGGTATAACAAGGTCACACATTCTGTATTGGAACACGACATTGCATGTGAACTTAATTCAGGTCCCATTACAAATCATATTTCCTTAAACAAATTAGGTAATGCAAATTTAAATTTCACTATGACGGCAGATGGGTGCGGTCAGGGGTGTAGGACTGGGGGGGCACAAAGATACTGGAATGAATAGCAATGGATGCAAGGAGAATGTCTATGTACAGTGTCCAGATTTTTGTGCTACGCCCCCTGGGTGTGGTGGAGATATAAAAGGGTGTTGGTCAAACCCTATGTGTCTTTTGTGCAGATCTGCCCTGATCAGCTGTATAAACAACGCGCTATAACATTATTTGTGTGACTAATCTCATATATCTGTGGCATGGAAGCTCAAAATGAGGCTCGAAGCAAGGTAATATATGATGTACCTAATTGTACATTGCATTACATTTTCAGGGCTAAAGAGATAAGAGAGATTACAGTAAACAAAGAAAAGATGGAGAGTAATAATTGGACTTTTTTCTGTGTGTCCTGCCAGGTGTTTAATGATCCCATCCACGGGCATGTGGAGTTGGACCCACTTCTCATCAAAATCATTGACACCCCTCAGTTCCAGAGACTTCGAAACATCAAGCAGCTTGGAGGGGGCTACTTTGTTTACCCAGGAGCATCCCACAACCGCTTTGAACACTCCATTGGGTATGTTCACTTGTTTTCAGATAGACACAGATATTTGTCCTGCGTTAATCACAATCCAAACGCAGTGTGCAGCAATGTGTAATGAGGTTTTGTGTGTGTGTGCTGTGTGTTGTGGTAAAGAGTCGGGTACTTAGCAGGACAGCTTGTAGAAGCTCTGCAGACAAGGCAGCCGGAACTTAATATCGATGAAAGAGACATCCTTTGCGTGAAGATAGCTGGTCTTTGCCATGACCTGGGTGAGTGATACACACCTTTTCAGTTTACCTGGAACCTGTTTTCTTGGTAAAAAATTACACCCAGCGATAAAGAATGAAAATTAACCTATCCACAAATTCTCAAATAAAAGCTGATTTAATCTAATTATGCCCTTTAAGCTACTGGGAGGAATGTGAAATATTTGCAAATGTTGAATTTCATTAAGGGCTGCTTAACATTGAAAGAAAGAATGTTAAAGTGGGAAGCTTGGTACGATCCAAAAGAACTACTTCAAATATGACTTGTTGTCTGACCACTTCATAAGACTAGTGTTAACAGCTGTTACAAATGACCACACTTGAAGGCAGGTTGAAAAGGGAGGGATGAGATGCCATAGTGGCTTAAATATAGAATGATAGCACACATTTTCAGACAGTCTGGTTTGTACACACTAAAAGAGACTACCTCGTTCACTCATTCACCACCAACAAAATAGACATTCACTATTTTTTTATTGAGCAGAAAAAATCTGAGATTTTGTACCCTTGTTAATCATAGTCACTTTGAGTCATCACTATTAGGTGTAGGATAAAGATTTTTCTGGAGATGGTTTACAGATTTGAACTGCATTTTAATGGAAACTTGGCTAGTTTCTTGTTTTGTTTGTCATTTTTAAGAAACACATAGTAGAGCTGTGTTGCTGCATTAATGAAAATAATGTAGTGAAAATGTACTCTGTCCTGAAAATTTAATTACAAAACGGCCTTTGTATTAAAACATAATCATACGTACTTATTAAACAGGGTGATTTAGAAGTAAAAACCTGTCTCCAAAAGCAGCCTGTTATTTTATAGTTCACACATGATCATCATTAGGTAAACTTATATTTATTTCTCCACTTCTAGGACATGGGCCCTTTTCCCATCTGTTTGATCAAGCATTCATCCCCAAAGCACGTCCAGGAGTGGAGTGGAAGGTAAGACACGATTATTTCTGTTGTCGGTGATACATGACGTAATAACCAACCAAAAACATTTAGCACATATTAAAAAAAAAAATCAGAAGCTGCATTAAGGATGTGAATCAGTTGGATACAAATGGTAACTAATTAGCAAATACAGAATTTAATACGTGTTTATGTAATATAATGGTGGATTATTTGTGAGCCGAAATCACAATTTACAAAGGAAAAATACTTGAATGGATTAATCTTTCATATGAACAAATCATCTATACTATACTTCACATTTATTTGGGAGCTACACTTATTTGCTTTGCTAAACATGAATCTACAGCCAGCAGCCAGATAGCAAAGATATGCATGTCTAAATCATGCTGATTAATGTGGGATGTCTTTGTACAAAAAACAGTCCAAAAAGTCCAAAGTCCGGGTAACAATAATGCACAAAGAAAGGCACCAGTGTGCCAACATATGAAGGGAAGAAGATTTGAAGGAAGTGTATTTGATACATTTGTTAGACCACAATGAGACACACGATGAGTTTTGGTGAGTGAATGTAAACATTCATTTGTTTACAACAAAACTTCACAGGGGCCCTTTAACTATGTAGTCAGCAAAAGCGATTCACCAGCCACATTTTAATATGAAAACCTATTTCTTATCTGTTCCACTTATTGTTCTAGAAACACAGTTTAGGACCCGGAACAAATGGATATCTAATTTATTTGGTCTGGCAAGGCGTTTGTTATCCAAGGGCATGTTCAATACTGTAAAATAGTATATTTATGTAAAATTATAAAAGTTAAGTTTTAGGCCTTTTTAATTATAAAAATCAAAAAGTAAACTACAGCCCATCTGTAATGTGATCGTAGTGTTCCAGTACAGTCCTTCTCCACCCCCAGTGGACATTTGTTTCTCAAAACTGTGGCTAAATGTACCTGAGGGTACGTATTTGTGGTGCTGCAAAAATGTAGTCAGCGGTATGTATATCCCACAAGACCAGGTTGATAGAGACAGTGGTATTGTAGGGTAGGGTATTAACAGCAATATGCAAAAATGTTAAAAAACTCGAAAGTTTTTAAGGGAATTTCAATTCTTCAGATACTTACAAATCAGGGATTACTATGAAAAAAAGATTTTAAAAAACTAAACTAAAAAACTAAAATATCTGAGGAAGACAATGCAGTGAGAGATATTCTGACTAAAGTGTATAAACAGCAAAAATGGAAAAATAACTATTTCTAAATTATACTAGCGAAAAAAGAGAGGATGGGATTATAATAATATGGCTTTGTAAAATATTGTTTATGTTGCTACCTTCCTTTATCACCTACACGATATATCATGATTATTTGAGCTGTGCCCTCACACAGAGTTTTTTCCATTCTTCCTGTTTTCCTTTCTTGGAAAAAATGCTAAAATGTATTCAATAAAAAGTAAAAAAAATCAAGGAATGCTTTTTAAATCCTAAAAGAGGTTTGAGTGTGGTATCAGAAGTTGTCTCTCTTTCACACATACAAACATCATGTGGATCACTTTCAATGTATTCGGAGACTGGGAGTGGTAAAGATGTTAGAAATCCAGGGGAGCAGGGAGAAGTAGGTCATATGCAAAACAAAGCACATATATGTTATGAAAGTTATGGCCATACACCTGTCATCTGGCAAACGTGAGAGAAAAGACAAGCATTCATATTCTCCCTATCCTATGTGTATCTTGCAGCATGAGATGGCCTCCTTAGACATGTTTGACCACCTGCTGGAGCAGAACAGCTTGGTGCTGCCGCCTGAGGATGTGAGGTTCATCAAGGAGATGATTGTACCTCAGGACACTGAGGACAGTGAAGGCCGGAATCTACCGGTCAGTCCTGCTCATGTGAATTGTGTGAAATCAGTCAGTCATCATCAATGCTACAGCAGCCACTGTCTAAAGCCACTTATGTCTTGTCATCTTCACAGTGGAGATATGAAGGTCGGACAGAGGACAAGTCCTTCCTTTATGAAATTGTGGCCAACAAAAGAAATGGTGTTGATGTGGACAAGTTTGACTACTTTGCAAGGTGGGCCTTGTTCAACAGTTGCTGTAGAGCAATTCACTTTTTGATGTAGAGTGTAAACTACTGTTTACTATTTGCACTGAACAATAACAATATTCTCATGATTATTTTAACAACATGAAGCATCCTTCATGGTGTTTTGGTTAGTTTACATAATAAGAATTTTTGTCACATATTTCCTCAGGCCCTAATCAGGCAGGCTGCGTTTTTTGCAGTGAGAGGCGTCTTTTTTCCAAATGTATTTTTGCGCTGCTAATGGCACATGAGTTTTTGCTGGAGCGCCTCAAGTTGAAAAAAAGCTTCAACTCAGAGCAAAAAAGCTCCCATTGTCATTTGCGTGTTTTTTCCAATTTAATCGGATCAGATTTGTGAGCTCACTTCACGGCAAAATAATGGTTAGGCCAGATGATTTGGTGATTGCCAAGCAACATTTCAAAGAAATGCAGCAAACTGCTCTTTTTTAAATTGTAGGCTTTATAGAAAAGGCAGTGTGGTATACGTCACATTTTCTGTCTGATTGGAGCCTTGCTCTGCTTCTCAGGGACTGCCACCACCTGGGAATCCAGAACAACTTTGACCATCGCCGCTTTCTACAGTTTGCCAGGGTGTGTGAGGTGGACGGGCGGAGGCACATCTGCACTAGAGACAAGGTGCTGACCTTGTTATGTTTATGAATATTTTTATTCATCTATAAAACAGCAACCCATCTATCTGATTAGTTGTGAGTAAACTGGACAATACTCTCAACAGGAGGAGGACAATATGTATGAAATGTTCCACACAAGGATGAGTCTCCACAAAAGCGCGTACCAGCACAAAGTGAACAAGATCATAGAGACAATGTGAGTACCTAGCCTTCCCATGTTTGTACTCTAACAACATTTAGCTTGGTCTCCTGTCCGATGTAGCTTATTTAATTTGCTTCATGATTCACTCTCTTGTAGGATTTGCAGCAAAAATTTCTTAAGTGATAATATGTGATATATATGGTTATCCAGGATCACAGAGGCCTTTTTAAAGGCAGACGAGCACATCCAGATTGCAGGCTCAGGAGGGAAGATGTTAACTCTCTCTACAGCCATAGATGACATGGAGGCCTACACCAAGCTGACAGGTGTGTAGATACCACTGTGTGCTGTTAGCTCATGTTTGAAGAACATTAAGAGACAGCGAGGAGTGAGCAGGATACACCAAGCAACATCTGTGCCATGTTTAAGAAAGACTACAGTCCCAACATGTTGAACTGTCCAAACATGGTTCATCACACTGTTGTCAGTATTATCATCCTTTGTTTTTTACTAATTTTATTTTAAGGATGTTGATTGCTGGAAGGCTAATAGTTGTCTGCACACAAGGAGATAAACTACTGAAGTCCAACAGTTGATGTACCAGTGTCTAACAGTTAACTGCAGCAGAAAGCACTCAGCCATGCTATCATATGAATGCATTACTGAGGAGTTGAACTATAAATTAAAACCAACAACAGTATTATTTACTACAGAAATCAGGTTTATCACTTGTGTCAACTATAAATCCAACTTTATTTTTTAGCGGTTTATTTACAACAATAACAGCTTAACTAGCAACAGGGTTCCTTCACATTTTCCTTTTCAAAATTATGTGCTTTTCCAGACTCAAATTTCCAGATTACTTAATCTGAGTACAAATAGCTAGATGTTTATTATATTAATAAATGGTTTTTAAATACAACTTTTAACATGTATGATGCATTATGACAATGTATGCTATTGTGTTGCCAAATAATTGCCAGAAGATTGTAGCTAGGTACAGTAGCTGATACACATTACAGATTCTCATCCATGCCATTCTACAAAGTCAGAATCCTCACTATGAATCACGTGGAAGACATGGAAACAAAGAAATTACATTGTTCTTGTGTTGCAGTGTAGAGCTAGTTAGTACTTAAGTGATATCATTCTAACATGACCCTGTTTGGTTGATCTATGGTTATGGGGTGTGTAAAGGCTAAATAAACACACAGCCCTCCAAACTGTAGATGCAATGTATCACTCTTATTAAATTCCCCATTCACATCGTTTCAGCACGTGGAGAAATCTGAAACTTGCCATGCCTCAGTACATTTGCAAAGCTGTGATTGAACATTTGCTGTTTGGTGAATGGGTTTAGCAAACGGTCATCTGAGAGTACAAACAACTTGCTGAAGTTTTGAAGACATTCAGCTTTTCATCATGCACCTACAACCGAATGTGTAAATTTCAAAGTTGCAATAAGAGGTAATTCTACATGCCAGATCAAGCCAGCGGTTATCAAGCTTGTTTGAATAAAATAGTTGTAACTCACCTATCTTCCATTCTGTTTGTCCTGTAGATCATGTGTTTGAACAAATACTCAACTCTTCCTCCCCCCAGCTGGATGAGGCGAGGCAGATTCTACGCAAGATTGTCACTCGAGACCTCTACAAGTTTCTGGGAGAAACTGAGAATCCCGCCCAGGTGTGCACGTGTTGTCTGCTGCTTGTCTACTGCTGCCTCGATCTGTTAATTAACACGTTACTAAACTAATAGGCCTACAGCAGTAAATAAAACTACTAGTAATAAAAAAAGCATAAATTAAAATGATCATCAAGGTCAGTCTGTCATTGTTCTCTGTCACTATCACAGATTATTAATTTAATGAATAATATTATTTAATTAATTTTAAAAAAATTATTTTAAATATAAAAAATACAAATACAAAAAGATTTATGCACTTTTGCACACTTTCTCCACTACACATTTTGGAAAGGCTGTTTTATGGTGAGAAAAATGTTGCTTGATTGTTTTAATGTTGTCACATACACAAAAAAAGATTTAAACATGCAAGAAGATGTTTTGGAAAAGCTTTTTATGATGAGAAAAATGTTGCTTTAGTGTGGACAAGGGGCCAAAAACTGCTTAATGTTGACATTTTCTTATTGTATGTTGTCAAGATGGAATAAATCTCAAATCTCCTTGCCTCCCACTTCTCACCCTGTGTTCTCCCTCACTAAGGAGATGATTCCCCTTTGGAAGGAGGAATTGGCTCAAGAGCTCCTTCAGAGTAGAGAAGGTCTGACACCAGAGGACTTTGAAGTCCAGGTGAGTTTTCAGTCTGATTACTTTAACTTTTCTTAAAATGTTGGGTTTTGTTGACAATCGTTTGATTTGTAAGATGTTGCCTTCCTCCGTTGTGGCATAATTTATTTGTTAATATAAAAACAAGCTTCTCTCTCACCCTTCACTTTTAGAAAGTTACAATAGACTATGGAAAGAGAGATAGGAACCCCGTGGAGTACATATATTTCTACAGCAAGTATGACCCTACCGAGGCATTCAAGATGAAGGTCAGAACTAAAGCAAAACAACAAAATGAATCTTAGTCTTTCTTTGCATGAGGTGTTTGTTCATTGTGTGTTTTCTTAAGAAGACAGCCTCTGTTATGTCATGATACTCATGATGCTGCTGTCCTTCTTATCAGGTGTCTGAGTTTCGCCGAAAGTACTTTTCTGAGCAAACATTCAGGTTTTACTGTAAGAAGACCGACGACAACACTCTGAAGGCTGACAAGGAGCATTTTGACCAGTGGTGCCGAAGAAAAGGGTTTTCCAAAGCATCAGGTAATATTTAGATCCAGGCTGCTGAATATACAGTAGGCTGCTGTGTGTTAGTGCTGTCTAGAGCTAATAATAATTTTCATTATCGATTAATCTACCAGTTATTTGATTAATCAACCTCCATAGTTTGGTCTATGGATATAAGACAATGGGGAAAATACCTGTAAAAATTCCTAAAGCCCAAGGTGACCCTGGTCCAGTAATGATGAGCTGCATCTCTCACTCGGTACACTCTGCACTGCTCTGGTTAATACTGATGCACTTGTCTGTGCTGTCTTTATTTACAGGCAGGATGGAACCACAGTAATAATTCATCTAAAGTTTTGGAAGCTGGAGATCAAAACTGAAAAAAAGAGAGCAAACACTTCTTGCTTCATTATGATTGAAAATTATTGAAATGTTCTATAAAAGGTCTGTTCTACTCTAAAGTACTTGACACAATTTTACTCCAAAACACATATAAATTATAAATTACTTATACTTTATTAAATAAGGATGCATTGTTACATATTCAGGCCTTGTACTCAGTTTTTAGAGCCCTTTTCAATATCTTTTTTTTTGTTTGATCATTTTAAATCAGCTTTATTTTAGACTCCTTTGTGTTGTGTAAGTTACATTACAGTTTAATACCATGTTTGTACCAAAAGCATACCATTATTTACTTCTGTTGTGAAAAATCAATCATGGTTACTTAAAATATCAATTTCTGAAACTGAATATGTATACAGCATGTTTCAGAGTCACATTTATGCTTTTTGTTGTGTTCTATTCCTTATGACCAGGGCAAGATGTAAAGCACTACCAGGATGTGTAATGAAGTCTGATCTCATTTGAAGTGAACTTTTAATATGTGGTTAAGGGATTTTAAATATTTAGTGGTGGTAAGTGTTTATGTTAATCAAGTGAATTCATGTGGACAGATATTATTTTGACTTTGAGTGATGTTTGATTAGAGGTTGTTTTGGTGCTGGTTGTCCTTCCAACTTGGTTGTTTTCTTGAATCTTTTCTCACATGAAGGATTTATTCATTATTCACTGTTTTTAAATATAATTTTTAAATGTCCATTTTATTGGTGGCAGCTTTTGTTTTATTTGGTTTGTTCGTCTTATTTTGAACAATTCTACCTTTTGAAAACTGGCTCTTTGGAAAAACTTTGAATTTATCTGTATGAAATAATAATTTACTAATATAATAACTTTCATTATTTCTCACTGTACTTATACTATATAGCTCAACTTGCCTGTTGCTTGATGTAGCCATCTCCATGTGGTTAAGACACCTTTTGTGTATTGTTGTGTTTTGCTGCCTGTGTGAAAATTAATTGTGTTCTTATATGTAATGGGGCTATAAAGGGAAACCTAGCAAAGGTTATTAGAACCTCTCAACTTTATTCCTATTAAGACAAGTTGATAAAAGATTGTGCCTCCTGTATTTGAAATAAAGCTCTTTTTCTCTTTGTTGTTGTTCTCGTGGAGTTAAACGCCTCTAACACCAATAAATAATCCACTCAATCACACGTTTTTCAGTTGTGGCCTAGTAATAGAGACCCCTGTGTCACTAGATCTCGCAAGATTAAACATGACGATATTTCTGATCAAGTTAAAACCTGTCTCGCACACAGTTCACATTTTTCACGCACTCTCACGCCACACATCAATTTTCTCATTCAGTGAAAGACAAATGTATAAGTAATAAGGTTGATTCGCAGAGTGAAACAACTCTGCCATGCGAAAATTCTGTCTGCGAAACCAGCGTACTCCCAGCCCGTTCTCATCTCAGGGCATCATATACCGACGATTTGAGAAAGAGTGACAAAGCGTAGGTATTTGATGCAAAAGGCACCCTTTAGCGTCTCATGGAGACGCACCTGGTGATAAAGGTGTTGACAGCCCCCCGAAGCCCCTACTCTTACCACAACCATCAGGAACGTTAGTACCTAAACCTAAGTCACTGAATGTATGCATGTCGACCTCCTTGTGTTGCTGCAACGTAGGAAACGGGGGCGTTTCATACGGACGCTGAAGGGTACCTTTAGCGTAAAATTCTTACGCTTTGTCACGCTGAAAGCGTCCTGTGTGTGTGCGCGCGTGTGTGTGGGTGTGTGTGTGACATGAGGTTACTGTCTGTGCGGCCTATTACAGTCCCCAGCTAATGAATCTGCGCATCTCTAGCTGTAGAAGATGAGTTCCAGTGCAATAAGCTGTTAAACAAGCTACCAAACAAGCTAGGTAATGTCATAATAACAGCTCATAGAAAAATTATCGGTTATCATGACTTTGTCATGATTAATTTATTAATGACTCAGCATCATCTATATTAAAGACAAAAGAATCAGTTCATCCCATATTTAAAGTGCATAAAACAGCCCTGCCAACCTGCTTAACATTACTGGAGTTCCACAACTGGCTACTGACGGATTTGAACTAGGGATGAAACGATTACTGGTTTAACGGTTAACCATGGTAAAATTCCCGACGGTTATTATTGCCGTACACATTTCAATTACCATGATAACCGGGTACGGTTAACCTCGCTGTTATAATCTCATGGCAAACACTGTAGCGTCTCCCAGAAGCAGGCGCGCATGCGCAGAATGCAACGGTTTGTTTGGGTCAATGACAACACGGCGGAAGACAACGCTGCGGAGATTTTTCAGTCACTCTGAAGTCCGGTCGTATTTTAGTTTTTATGAGCCCAGCAAGCAATAGCCATCATTTCACCGTCTAGGTTTACTATAGACCTGATTTAGTCCGGCTATGAGTAACCTACTTTTAGCCACAATAACTTTACATGTGGTTACATGACGTTTTTGCCAAAATAACTTGCAATGTGTATGATATTCCGTAATTTAAGCAAGGTCTACAGTAATTACAAGGTTTTTTGTTTCATTTCTTTCACATGATTTACACGCAGCCTCTGCGTAGACACAATTTAACTCATAGACAGACCGGCTATTTGTAGCCCGCTTTTAGTCAAATAAGTCAAAAATGATTAAAAGTGGATTTTGCCCTGGTAGCACTTAAGCACTTGAGATGGTTGATATCCCAATATTTTTGCAATGTCAATAATATCTACAAGATATTAAGTGTCATTAAATTGACATGATCTATCTGTAGCCACGATTTAGCTCTTATTTGGACAGGCTACGTGTTGTCTGTTTTTAGCCTACCCGGCGAAATAGAGGCAATCAGTAGTTTAATATCAACGGCTTGACTGTAGCCCTTTTTCAGACCAAATTGGTTACATGTAGTTTTCACCCGATGCAGCTGTTGAGGTGCGTGACATCATATCATCAAATGTAAGTAAACGCTTGAAACATTTAAATTATCTTTATTTTCGCTGTAACGTTCCCATTAACTTTCATTTTAATTAAAAACAAGATGCAATTACTATTTTCAACGGGCAGATGGCAGCTGTAGCCCTACTGAGACATGACTACTGGCAACGCGATACTTGAAAGTTATCATACATCACAGTTGCCAGATCTCACAATAAGCACATCCGCCATTTTTAAACTAGGGATACGTTACTATTTCGGCCTTTCAGTGAGCAATGGGTGAGAGTTTACTGCAAACACTGGAAGCGAAAAGATATTTAGTTTGGTCTTGTAAGTATCTGTGTCTTTGTTTGACATGTCTTCATTATTTATCTAAATTATTTGTTAACGTGTAGGAACCGTGACATTTCAGAGGGTAACAGTGTAGAGTAAGGCACGTTGTGGTTAGTGTAACATGCTGCATGCAATTGTAACTTGACGTTACTGTAACGTTAACTCCATGATACCCACAGGTTTCCTCGTGCCCTTATGCTGCATTCCATTTACCTCAGAGGTCGGAGCTGGGAATGACGTCACACCAAGCGGGAAGCTTCCGGTCTACAATATGAAGCGAATGCGGAAGTCCCTGAAACCTGCATTCTATTGAAAATCCAGCAGAGGGCGACTCTTCTGGTTGCAAAAAGAAGTCCGGCTCCATTAGAAATAATGGTAAAACGACCCTACTTCTCAGCTGAATAATTACCCCAGTAAACACTTTCCTGATGAGTTTATGGTCTCAGTCGCTAGTTTCATGTCTTCTTCAATACAAAATGTTGTTCATTTAGTGAATTATGGTTCCATTAATTTTAAAATAGACCACAAAGCAGAGTATGTTTCAGGGTGGGATTATCTATGATTGACAAGTCGTTACCATGGCGACCTGTCAATCAGGCTAGAGCCGACTCGTGGAGTTGGCTGTTCACTTTCTCTGGTGAGTACATTTAGTTTTAAGACTGCTGTTCGCTTGACAAAGTTATCAGCCCTATTAAAATGACAGTTAACGAGAGTTACAGTTGCACCTAGCTAAGCAAGCTAGCTAGCTCTGCACACGGCCGTTTGGTCCGCCGTATCGTCACTTCCAGGAACTTTCTGGTTGCAAAAACTCGACATGGCGGCGACCTATCGGCCAAACTCGAGGCTTCAAAACGGCAGTCCACAAACCAACGGGGTGACGTCACGATGACTACGTCCATTTCTTATATACAGTCTATGCGTCACACCCGAGTTGACGGCGTTCCAGTTAACAAGTCAGAAAACCTCACTCTGCCAGCTGTTTGTAACTAGCCAGGTTAGCTATTGATACGCCGGTTGATTTAATAAAACGCATTCTGCAGTATTTACTCACACTAAACACTGTAGCAACACATCCACAGACAGCTGTTGGACAGCACTTTGTGTACAAACATTTATATGAGTCACAAGTACACAGAAGTGCTAATAAACAGTATAAACTACAGCTTTCACTAACTGTTGATACCCCGACAGCCATCTTGGATCACGAAGTCGGGGTAGTGCGGTTCTCCCGACTTCCCAAGTTGGAATCCTGACTTAAGGGGGTGTTCCCTTTGAAATTTTGACCTTTGAACTCGGAAATCCCGACTTCCCATGTCAACTGGAACGCACCATTAAAAACTCTTGAATTCAAAGGGGGTGAACATGAAACATGCACAACCATACCTATTATAATTTTGTAATGAAAGCCACATATATATTTTACTCACTAACGTTAGATCATTATGATGTGAAAATATGAGTTTTTGACTTTTGACACTAAATATTTATTGCTAATTATCCAGCATACAGTCAACAAAGTAATGTTACAACAATAAATATTCAGAACAGAACATATTACATTCAAAGCACGTAGCTCTCTCAAAAGAATTAAAGCAGCTTTCCCAATTGTCTATTTGGTTGTTCTAATGCAACATGATGGCTAAAACATGTGTCCTGTTCAAGTATCTTTATATTTTCCATAGCAGTAAATGGGTCAGAAAGTTAATAAATAAGGGCTTTTAATTTAAATGAAAAAAACGTTATAAATGAAATTTTCTTTTCTTTTTTTTTACCTTCATTAGAATAATTAGAAATATAGTGTATGTTTTCATTTAAATTCATTTGTTGATAGTAGTCATGTCTTATGGGAAAATGGTAGTCAATTATGTGTTTACTTATATTCTTATTCTTACATATTCAACAGTTACGGATCCCATTTAACCGAGAGACTAGCGCCAACCGAGAGACCCATCTGATGCTCTTGCTGCATCAAGTAGCAGCTTAGATGAAGATCTAGATTTGGATGTAGCAACCCATTTATTTTCTCATTATTTATGTTTTTATTACCGCATGTTGTTAAAATAGTTTGTATTTGTATTTATAATAATATTTTATCAATAATTCCTTTATAGTTCATCATGTTGTATTATCTTAAGTTGTCTACTTTGTAATCCTTTTTCTTAATAAAATCTTTATATTTAATTTGTTTGGACAGATTACCATTTATGAGAACCTGTTATGTTTAAGTAAAAACAATCACTATTCTGAACCACTATTCTGTTGTCTATAGAGGTAGATATGTAGATATGTAGTGTGTATTTGGTCTATTCTTGGGCTATGGTTAGACGTCTATTAACAGCCCAAATTCAACCTTGTTTTAGCCTCGACCCATTTTCATCATCTAATACACGTCTATATGTAGCCGTTCAATGGAAGTCTAATGGATGACTAGACTATTTATGGGCTATGGTTAGACGTCTACCAAACTTTCACTGACAACCCAAATTCAGCCCTGTTTTAGCCTAGACGTCTGAGTTCTGTTTAGACGTCTATTAGACATCTTTTAACCGTGAAATTGCTTGCTGGGAGATCGCCGAGGGAAACTTGATTGAAGAAAATTACCTTATAGTGAACGCAGGGTGAGTTAACTTTTAGGTTTGGTTTGTCTCTCTGACTTGCTAACAAGCATGTAAACTGACGCTCTCAGTGTTTGCCGCTCTAGTGCCAAAAAACATGTAGCATGTTTTGCTAACAAAACGCGAAAACTAATGGCTAAACTAATGGCCACTAATGGCTTGCCATACATGTGGGCAGAGTCTATTCGTCCACTGCAGGGCCGTTACTGCACATGATAACACATTACGCAGT